GAAGTATACATTCTTTAGATTCAATGTCACAAACCATTTTTTTAATCAGACATTTATAGACTACTAAAACTGGACTACTTGCAAGAATTAATTTTATATTTTGGTGAATAGTACATACACAAATACGATGAGTACCTGACGATCTAACAGATATACACCATTTTGGACGTAACTCACAAAATTTAGAAAATCCAACTTCAGCTCCATTTTTCAGGATTGCTCTATGATTCATAGTGCAATCCTGAAACTTTCTAGAAATCTTTACTAATGTTTAAAATATTATTTTAAAAAAATGTATACAGGTGAAACTTTTATTTTCCAAGGAATTAAAGTTTATTCCAATCTCAGAAAGGCTTGTATTAATAGTGTCAGTTGAACAAAATATATCATCTATGTCACTAATGTTGTCAATTTTTTCACTTGAAGACTTTGGACAAATAACTTTATGACAATTTTTTTTATTTTCGACCTGGACAAATAACTTTATTTGTTAACTGTTAAATTTGAAACAGTCTGCAGTCTCTAGGTCAATACATCTCAACCCTTTAACTGAGCAAGGATTGGCCACACCAAAAGGGTTTAAACAATAGCGCTGCAAATGAGTGTATTTAACCAACAGCAGTGATTTGTGGTGGAAACAAATTAAAGTAATATTTTTAATCAAATTATAAGTTCGCCTGACATTCATACTCTGTTCTTCGTTCGAAAGTTCTGAGCAAAAGTCAATAAAACCCTTTTTTTGTGAATAAGTACTTAAATGACATAAACTTCCGTCAAATTTTCCAATACAACAAGTACTTAAGTTTTGATCAACAGACATGTTAAAAGGATAAGTTAAAAATAACTCATTCTTAAATTCAATTCTAATTTTTGTCTTCTAATGTAAGATGTTTGTGATAAACTTGAATATTTGAAATTAATTAAGTGAGATTTGTCCGTAGAATAAAAATATACTCACTAAAATTAGCTCTACATGGCAATAGTTAATTTACGGACCTTAATATTGTTTTTAAAATATCAAAGACTTTGCAGACCTAACTTAGCTCATAAAAACTAGATTTTTTTAGTTCATAGGAAAAATCTCTCCAAAATAGTTTCTATTGTTTCTAGAAGTATGAAGTAAGCTCTTTCCAACAATGCAATTAAAAAAATAAAAAAAATTTGCCCACATTGATTTTTAGGGTTTCAAACACGCGTTATTTTAGGGTATTTCACTTTTGTTGCTATTTTGCTTTCAAAATAACTCAGAAAAGACGTTTATAAAAAAGCTGATTTTTAATCCATATCATTATGATAGTATGTAGAGCCTTTTAACAAAATAACAATGCTAAAAATTCTTTTGTTCTGAAGATATGACCCTACAAAAAACAGAAAAAATTTATGGTGTTGAATTTGTGACGGTATTTGGTGAACCATAGACTAAAATGTAGGCATAATATGAAACTTGTATTAATTTTTTTGTAATCTCCACCTTGGGTTTATTATGAAACCACGTTTTCAAGATACATTATCCGTTCATTACGAAAATATAAGACCCCAAAAATGCAGTTTATAGCTACAGACTGATATTGACGTTTGGGTAAGCCTTACAAAAAGTACCACAAAACCCGAATTAATAAATATTTTGATCTAAAAATTTGGCAATTTTCATGAAACATGTTTAACAACATATTGACAAAATTTTATTAAAATTGGAGATGGTCGAGCGGGAAAGATTTCGGAAATTGGACCGTTTGGCGTGGAATGACCCAACTGCATCTTTTCTAAATAAAACTACGCTTGATGATTTGTTATAGTCGCATTACCAGATTATAATAGTGGTTAAAATAATCTTTCTACACATAATCTTTCTACGCATATATACCAGATTATAATAGTGGTTAAAATAATCTTTCTACGCATACCAAATATGTCATATTTTTTGATGAAAAAGCTTACATATATTGTAATTGAAATAACTTATATTTTTGTTCGAAAAAACGTGTACCAGGCCTTCGTTGCATTGAGAAGTCAAATAAAATGTGTAATAAAAAAACAAAAAAAACAAGAAAAAAAACAAAAAAAAACAGGGTGTCCACTTTGATGAAAAAACTGGAAAAAAAGTATAGGGCTGTTTTTAAAAAACATTCTAAAGAAACTGGAAAAAGGTATTTTTTGTCCATCATTGATTCAATGATGCGCAAAAAATAAAATTTTCCAGTTTTTCCATCATGTTTTTTTAAAAAAAGTTTTACCAGCACAGTGGACATCCTGAAAAAGAAAGAAGTTCAAAAAAAAAAAGTTCAAAAAAAGCGATTAATAATAATGATGAATGTCAATAATTATTTAATTTAGTTTTTGAACTTACAGGGTTTAAATTTAAGATTTAATTACCCTGTTTATTTTTAGCTGATGCAGAAGTTCAGATGATTTCAAAAGAAACACTTAAAACAAAATAATCCAGGCGTATTTAACTCAAGTAAAACTCCCCGGGAAATGCACGTGTTTTTGGTTTACGATTCCTTAGCGTTTTACAGTCTATAGTTTATAATGCTCTAAGATCTTCTTAGTTATTCTATTATAAAATAATATTGATATTATAAAATAGTAATAAACTGCCATACTGTAATAAAATTTTTGCTATAAAAATTGCTATAAATCCAGCAAGAATGAAAATTTTTCAAAATCTATTAGGGGATGTCTTAAATCCCCCAAAACGACACTGGTGACAGCGCACTAAACAACTGAGCTATCAATGATATGCGTTTAGGAGATAAACAAACCTTATCATAAATCTCTTATAAGCTTTAGGTATGCTGAAAGGGTGCGCATGTTAACTTAAAGCAATTTTTTTAAAATGAATTATTTTACGTAAAAATATTGAAGTAAACAAATAATAGGTATAGGTATGATCGGTTTGAATAAGTATAGAAATGGTAGATTTGGTAAAGACCCATATAATTTATGGGTCCGGAGAGCTAGGATATATATATATAAAGAAAAAGTATAGAAAAGTTCAGTGTGGAATAGACTTACAAAGACCCGAATTTTTACGGGTCAGACCAGCTAGTATAAATAAATATCACTATTCTTTATGTTTTAACCATATAAAAGTATGAATTACATTTACCAAATATGCTGTATTTATATTCAAATTATATTTTTGAATATAAATACAGTATCCGTCCACAATTATTTTCGTCGCGTCCATAATTATTTCTATAACTATTTTCGTTATAAGAATACTTCATTTTTTAAATGTTTTACAGAAAAAATTCATGCATAATTTATGAATTCCTATTAACACTGACTCAAGCATGAGAATAATAATTCTTAGTATTATATCTAAAATTTCAGTAATAATGCTAATCATTTCTTGAGGATTATTAGGTTTTGGTTGTATCCCTCCTAATTAATTTTTAACCACACCAAATAACTCCTCGATAGGATTAAGCTGAGTTTGTAAGGTGGTAGTTTGTAAGGTGGTAAAAACTGGATAGTACAATTACTTTCTCGAAATGCCGATTATGCTATTGATAAATGGTGGAATTAATTACTTAAAACTGATCTTAAACCTTATTCGATCCACTTGTTTATGCTAGCAACATTAAAGGTCCCAACCTTTAGTTTAAAACCGATACATCCCGTGACTGAAATGGCCCATGTTGAGATAACATTCCAATTTAAGGGTATATCCCATTTGTTTTAATTTTTTTAATTGTAGTTGTTAAGCATTTATGTTCTTGGGGCATTATTTCTGCAATGTCAATCGAAATTAATGCATTATTTGCATTAATTAATAAATTTCTCTCTTTCTTTCAATATCATCTGCCAAGATTTTTAGAAATTGTATTTTGATCTTGTTCAAATTTTCGTATTCAGTTTTGAACCAGCCCTGATTGTATTTGCGATAGATCGACTTGATTCGTTGAAAAGACCTATTGTATTTGCGATAGATCGACTTGATTCGTTGCTATTCATCATATGACATTATGGGTAAGTTGACGAATTGCGTTTATCTTCCAGAACCTTTCATCAAAAGGACCAAAAAATACATTGAACCTTCCTAATTGATCATTTTATCTTTAAATGAAGTATGGTAACATCGCTTCCATTTTACTTTACAATTAGAAGTCGAATTAAAAAAAAGAGTAGAACAAGTAGAACTATAACAGAAAAATACAAAAAAATTGTTAAAAGATTTAATTTTAGTGTTAAAAGATCTAATACTTAGTACTAAAAGACATACTACTAAAAGAAAGAAAAATACATAGTACTAAAAGAACTCGAAAAATGAGAATAATTTTATCTGGAGCGAAGCAAACATAGTCTGGATGGTCAAAAGGAAAAAACTCATAGTTTCAGAAGTCGAAAAAAAATAAAACTTCTGCGAAAAGAGTCTCTCTAAATGAGGATCTGGATAAAGCACGTTATATGTGGCTTTTGAACACCCGACACCAAAACATTTCTGTGTCAATAAGTCTCAAAATCTCAATAAGTCGAACATTAACGAGAGCTTTGCTTGATTCAGAAATTCGTTAAGTCGGACAATATATGGATACCAATTCAGGGCCTGAGGTAACGGGATTCTATTGTATATGAATATTTCGTAGATAATCCAATATTTAACACTTAACATAACAATATAACTAACACTTTTATTATCTTGAGCATTTATTTACAACGTTTGATTTTCTTTTGCTACTCCTTAGCTTGATAAGTGCTTTTTATAGTATAGCGTAATAAATGCAATACATTCGTAAACTCACGTTTTGTGCGCAAAGATGTAGGTTTATACGCAATGTTTAGAGAAAAGTTTGTTTATGTGCCATGTTTAAAAAAACATTGAAATCTGCAATACGATATTATTAAAATGATAAGTCGCAAAAAATGATTAGAAAAATATCTTTTTTAATACAAATATTGTCTTAATAAAACAAAAAAACTTTAAAAAACAATTATTCACAGCATTACACAAAATAGAAAAAGAAAGCTGTAAAATAACCTGAAAGAAAAACAACCTGTTACATAACAAACTGACACAATCAACGGCAGAAAGCTGCAACACGATATCAGCGTTAAAAAAGTTTATTATAAAGATCACTCTCCTTATTTAAAGTAAATCGTTTTTCATTCAGCTAACTGTTTTTGCATCGATAAAGAGAATTGACATTTATTCAATTCAAAATGCTAGAAGTCATAACTTCAATCAATGCTTTTAGCTAACTTTTTTTCTCTCTAATCAAAATTAGTTACCCTCCTCCGTAGCGTTAAAAAACTTTTTCCCGAGCATCGATTTTGGAAGATATTCTTGCATAGGATCCTCTTTAAATAGAGGAGTATATTTATAATCTTTACCGTACCCAAGGTTCTCCATCAATTTGGTAGGAGCATTGCGCAAATGTAAAGGAACTTCTGGCTGTGAGCCACTGCAGTTTTTGATGAAGTCTTTTGCATTTTTGTATGCTTCGTATACAGCAATACTTTTTGGCGCATTTGCAAGATAAACCACAACTTGGGCGAGTATGATCTAAACAGAAACTAATTCTAAAATCATGAGGCAATTTAAAAAAAAAGATTTACTTATGTATAAAAAATAGTAATATATGCGTGACAGACGAAAGCATGCACATCAAAATCATACACATCATGTCAAGGAAAATTACTATTTTCATAAACTAACTATCCCTCCTTGTACCTATGGCAACAAAACCATTTCATTACCACCATATAGTTTCATTTAATTCATTTTAAAATTGTTTTGATTATGATTGAACACAAAAATTAAGTAATTATGAGAATAAATAACAAGTCATAGAGTATAACAGAGAAGCTATGCTTAGAGCATAACAGAGAAGCTATGCTTAGAGCAAAACAGAGAAGCTATGGCGCATAGAGCAGTTATAGAGCAAGGCCTACTTTTAAAATTTATAGAAAAGTGCATAATTCATTTATTTTATATTTTGAGAGCAAGAATTAAAAATTATTTGAAATAGTAATGTGATGTTTCGAAACCAAATAGAAATTTTATCATTTTAAATGAATAGAAATGTAGTGTTTTGAGTTATATGACTTACAACAGTCTTTTTCAGAATAAAGGACTATCAGGGAACACCTTAAAGTTATCCCAAGCATTTTCTAGAATGCTGTAGTAGAGTACTTTAATCTTTAACTTGTTTGAAAATTCAAGTCTTTGTTTTTAATTAGGCAAATAAGTGCAACAATATTGAAAATGTGTTAGTACTGTTACTGCCAAAGCTTTCAACTTAAGTTACACAATGAATTTTAAATTCATATAGGTCATCCTATAATTTTTTTTTTTATTTAAGTTATTTTGGTGCCCCAAGGAGAGCTAGCGAGACCAAGGAGAGCTAGCGGTTTTATTACAGATCACCACAGAAAGACCATTTTTATATATTTTGATTTCCATTATAAGACTCATTATTTTTACCTATACTTTGACTTCCATTATAAGTTTTATTTTACATATAAAATATCCTATAAAAAATCTCTTAATAATTCAGATAACTATCGCGGTATTAGTATTACACCTATCTTGACAAAACTCTTTGAATATATTATCATGCAAGTATGTTCGGAAATATCAGACAGCCACTCTCATCAATTTGGTTTCAAGCAAAATAGCTCCACCCTGTATGCAGAGTTCCTATTGAGTGAGACATTAAAACATTATAATAATAATAACTCGTCAGTATATATCTGTAATTTAGACGCAAATAAGGCTTTTGATAGCTGTAACTGGGATTTGCTGTTTGAGAAACTTTATTACAACAAAAACTTACCGCTATCAGTAGTTCGCGCACTACAATCATTATACCGCTCGGGTACAGCTAATATATCATACCTTGGACATAAATCAAATAATTTCCGCTTGTCTCAAGGTGTGCGACAAGGATTCATTTTATCGCCACATTTATACAACATTTACACTGAAAGTATATTAAGTCAAATTGTTTCCGATTGTAGTTTGAAGTAGTGTAATAATACAGTGTATAAACAGTAATGGGTTTATACACTGGTTTACGGTATGGTTTGCATGTGTTAACAGTTGCAAATACAAAAATTAAAATTAAAACATAAGATTTTAAGGAATTAATGAAATACTAGAAATTTGTTTATGTTTTGAAAATATATTAAAAAAAAAAAATCGTCGTTGTACAATCGATACAGTTAATGTTTCCGATTGTAAAGTTGGAACAACAGTAATGGGTTTATATACACTGGTATTATTGCTTATGCAGATGATATAATCCTGCAAAGTCCTACTCTTTCTGGGCTACAAGAGTTGATTAATAAAGTTTAAACGCAATGTCAAAACCTCTATATCGAATTAAACACAGAAAAAACCGAGTTCACCATCTCCCGAAAAAGTTTAGTTACAAAAAACATAATACAAATTAACGGTTTTTTCCTGTAACTTAATAATAAACTGAAACACCTCGGATTCTTATGGGAAAATCAAGGCCATGGACAAAATATAGCTACAATCCAATCAGCAAATGTAAACGAAAGAATTATTCAATTTCAATCAATCTCCAGAGCCCCTATAAAACCTGGAACTCGCTTTTGTCAACCAGTAACTATAGTGCATTTGTTCAAATCTCTGGCTATACCAAATCTATCATATGGATTAGAAATTTGTGATTATAGCAATACTTTTCTTAATAAATTAGACGCTGTTGGAAGATCAGCATTAAAATTTCTCTTTAGTATTTCAAAATACAGCAAAAACTATCTGCATTTCTACTTTAAAATCGATGACGGATCTACCATCTTCGTTCAAAACAAATTGAATCTGTTTATCAGATTACTGAGCAATCCGACTTGTCTTTCCTTGATTTTAACTCAAATATTTAATGTTAATAAGGAAAACTGCTTTATTAACGAAATAATGAAAATTTGCAACCGCTAGGAACAATGCTTCATGCAGTGTTTGATTAAGGGGGAAAAAATCAATATCAAACGTCGTAACGATGACGTAGAAGATAATATAGCAGAAATTTTTAACCAGTTCTTTGAATTCTGGAACATCAGAGAGCAGAGAATGATATTCAAAAACTTAATGGAAGAAAGCATTCCAAGAAGAATCTAAATTAGAATTTTAACTTAGAATATAAACTATTAGTTTTATGACCTCTGTATTTTTTACCTGTAATTTTGGGTGATGAAAAGAATAAATAAATAAATATATTTTGATATCTATTATAAGTTACTTTTACATATATTTTGATATCCATTATAAGTTTCTATTACATATGTTTTGATTTATTCAGAATTGTCAGAATTCAATAAGCAAAAAAAAAAAAAAAACTTCTAAAAACTTAACAATGCATTCAAACTCTGCATTTTTTTGTTAAACAATGGATTCGATTAGATTGAAATTTATTAGAACAGTGAAACATGTTCCAAAGGACACGCAGGTTCAAAATATGAAATCTGATAATTTGCCCTACAATCACATAATACATGTGCTAGATAATTTATTATATGCTAGATATATATATATATATATATATATATATATATATATATATATATATATATATATATATATATATATATTAGAGTGCCTCTAAAAACAACTTTTTTTGAAATTGTCTGCTGCCACCCCCTAAATGTGTTCTATGTAATAAATTAATACTAAATTTAAAAAAATTTTGAATAAAAAAATTTTTTAGGGGTCGCTCAAGACCCTTAAACATCAAATATGTCCCTAACATTTTGAAAAAAAAAAGTTCTTTAAAGGTATTTTATGTTGGGTCTCAAAAGAAGTGAAATTTTATAAAAATTTCAAAAATAATAATCATTTTATATAAAGATAACTAGCTTTATTTTATGGCTTAAAAGCTTTTTTTTAACAAAAAATAAAAAGTACATATTTTCAAAGTTTTTTTTAAATAAACTTTTTAAATTAGTGTTTCCATAAATTGTTTTATTATTTTTGAAATTTTTATAAAATTTCACTTCTTTTGAGAACCAACATGATATACTTTTGAAGAACTTTTTTTTTCAAAATGTTAAGGACATATTTGATGTTAAAGGGTCTTCCAACCATAACCATTTGATATGTGTTAGAAAGTAATGCTGATATCCAATGAAGGTGGTTATCTATTAGGCCGTACATTGTAAGTTTTTTCAAAAGTTTCGAATGAGGTACAGAGTCAAAGTACACCATGCCAGTAATTAAATTGCTATCTAAAGCTTTATTCCAATCATTAGTTGACTCTTGAAGATTGTTGATTAGGTGTTATTAGATTATTTATATTAAGATAATCAGCGTAACTAAGAATACTTTCCATGACACGACAGCAAGTACATGTGAAGGAGATAGGTCTATAATTGTTAGCATCTGAAATGGATCCTTTTTTTAAAATAGGGGAAACCAAAGCTTGAAGCCACTGTTTTGATAATGAGCATGACATAAAACTTGATTCAAATATATACAAAAGCGGAATATATATATGTGCTAACTGTTTTAAAATTATATTTGGTATACCGCGAGGTCCAAATGATGTGCTAGGTCTTATATTTTTAGTTTTTGATAAACTACCATTGCTGAAAAATCTAGAAAATCCATCTTTATATATTCACTAACAAAAGTATTTGTTTTAGTCAAATTTCCGTCATCTATCATAAAAACGCTTCCAAAGTGTTTGTTAAACACTTCAGCGATTTCAACATTGTTAGTAGTAAAGTTGCTATTAGTTTTTAGAGGATATTTTTTTTGGGGTTGTGGAGATTTTTATTTACTTACTAAAAAACTTACTAGAGTTATTTTCTTTGAACAGTTTTAGTTTTAAATTTTTGTGGTGTATGAATATGGCCAATTACATTTGTATTTTAAAAATTGTAAAAATATTCGGAGTTTGCTTCGGACTGATAATAATCAAATGTATTATTAGTAATTATATGAAAAAAGACTGAGTTATGGTCACTTGTACTAAATGCACACTCAACAGAATCATTACTTATTAGGGAAATGATTTTTGAAAGAATTAGCTTTTGTTTACACTTCTCGCGTAATAACTTTACTTTGCATCGCTCAGCCACAGTTAAATTATGATTGATAAACATTTTGTTAAACTTGGTTGAATTTTTAAAATTTTTTGCAGTTATTAGGATAGAATTCTATCAAAAAACACCAGCTTTCCTATTCCCTTCAAAAACATTGATACCCAGACCAAAATACTGCCTCAATCAAGTTTTACTGTTTTTTGAATGCAACAGAGTGTGAATGCTTCACCTTCTTTTCTCCATATTTTTTAGACTCCGCAAGATTAAACTTTGACTCGTTAGTTCAACTTTCTTCCAGAATACTTTATTCTAATCATTCATGATACCAGCATATACACATATTCTTTAGCAAATGCAAGTCTTTGACCGTTAATCAATTTTTTTTTTTTTTCATTGAACTCTTGCTCTGAATCTTTTTTAATCGATATTTTTCAAATAGCAATTGAGCCCACTTGTATTCCAAATTATTTTTCAAGAAGGTTTGGCGCTTTTGGTGCTGATAAAAATCAGTTTTTTTGTATCATCTTTTGGTGCTGATAAAAATCAGTTTTTTTGCATCAACATTTTGTCTCTCAATTCTGAAAGTTGTTTTCACTTAGTTCCAGACCTTGGCTCATTTTTCACATATTCAAAGGTTTTGTACTTTTTAATCAGATGATTCCTAATGCCATTCCAGTTGCTTTTTTATCAACCCAAATATTTTACTTTTCTTAAACAAGTCAATTGCCAAATTGCATTGCGCTTCTCACCATTCCTTGATTTTGACTCCCATACCTAATGATATCAATGGTAAATCCAATGAATTTGAAAAATATCAGTCAATTACTAAGGGTTACTCATTGTTAAACAAATATCAATTTTAAAACTATTGATTAAAAACCTTTTTTATTTTTAAATTCTTGTTTTACGTTTGAGGTTTTAACAACATGTTAGGATAATTATTTTTCTATGAGGTTTTAACACTACTTAAGGAGTTTTTAAAATTTAACAATGTAAGTTAATATAGTTTTTTTTTGACTGTTTAAATTCGTGAATAAGTTTGCTTTCAGAATAATTATAACAAATAATTGTAATAATTATAATAAATTTATTTAACAAAATTTTTTTCTAAAATAAGGAGACAAAGATTATATTTTACAAAAAAATATTTTGTTTGAATTATTTCTCTGACTGTATGTCTATTTATGTTTATGTAATAGAAGATCTATGTACATGTATGGTCACTATCAAAACTAAAACAACTTCAAAAGAAAACAACACGATTAAATAAACCTCGTTTAATGATTTAAAAAATTTTTTTTTTTAATTGCAAAATCACTTTTAACTTTTTTTTTTAACTGCAAAATCACTTTTAATATTAAAGTTAAAACAAAGTCTTGAAATTTTTTTCATTAACAACAACAGAATTTTATATTGTTTAAAATTAGTACAATATGTTCAAAATTAGTACAAGTAATTTAGAAATTGTATTAATATAAGTTATAGGCTTCAAAACAAAGACAACTAACACAAACCTCAGTGAATCATGTAAATGCGGTAGTGGTGTAGTGGTAGAGCGCTCACTTCATAAGCGAGAGGTTCCGAGTTCGATCCCCACCAGGTCCCTGGTAGTACCGCGTTCAACTCGTTTTTCCGTGAGGCGGCCTTGTTCGTCAAGGATTGTGTTTCGGAGTTATAGAGTTGAGAGAGGGTTATAACCAAAAATAAGTAGCCTTCTTGTCTGTAGTGGCCTTCTCGGCCTTGAGAAGGTGAATTAACAAAAAAATAAAAAAAAAAAAAATAAATAAACTTCTTACATTTTATTCGATATATAATTCTAACATTTTAATATTGAATAATATTTAAATTATAAAGCATTAAATAATGAAATTGAATTCCAGAATCATTGAGTGAGCAACTAAATTTTAACTTATAATACTCAGATTAAAATAGAAAGTTTCATAAAGTTTCAAAAAAATATCTTGCCTTATGCATTAAATTTGTTGTGCATTTCCTAATTTTTTAAAGCTTTTAAAGCTTTTAGATCTTAAACCTAAAAATAATTGGTTCATAGCAGAATAATTTAATTATATAATTGTGGTTAAAATTACGTCAAAACAATAATAAAATAAAGTAAAAAAACAATGAATTTACAAACATATTATAATCTTACGTCACACTCTGGCATTCCTATAAAGTGACAAGCTTGATAAGCAGATACAGCTTGTGGTAATGCATTTGAATCAGCAAGACCTGAACACAAACCAAAGTTTTAAAATTCAAAAAAATATGATTATCATTATAAGGGTGTAGGGGTGTTTGGTGTATACTTGGTTAGTTATTACAAGTGTTTGGTGTTTGTTAGGATTTTTTTTTTAGTTTTTTTTTAGATTAGTTTTGTATAAGGATTTGAATTTTTTTTTTTTTTTTTTGAATGATTATTTTAGATCAAAAATCATATAATATGTTTTAATATTAAGTGAAAATATCAAATTATGCTCTTACAAAAGAAATTCAAATAAAACCTTTCTAAAAGGATAACAAATTTAAGTTTTCAGTTCAATAAACTAATTTTGCTACATTTTAACATTTTACAGACCAAAAAACTTATAATTTCATTTGTGTGTTTCATTATTTTAAAAACTATATATGTTTGAACATTACTATAAAGCAACAATATTTATTTTTTATATTTATAATAGATAATAATAGATAAATTTTATAATACACCCTTACAAAAGTTCCGTTAAAATTTGCATGAACTGTTCAGGGTATTTTTTACACCTGAAACTTCAGGCGAAACAACTGAATGTTCAATCATTGCGTTCTGATTATACCTTTTGCCTGAACAGTTCAGGATTAATTTAGATCAACAATTACTGTTGATATAAATTAATCCTGAACTTTAGACAAAACGCAAGAACATGTAAAAACCTGAATCTGAGCTTTTAATCTTAACTTTTTGCTTTTTAAAAGAATGTGTTCGGTAATGTTAAAAAATATAAACACTCAAGACATGGCCTACTATATTACACGGCCGTGTATGTTACATTTTTTGAGGCCAATTCTAAGAGGCCTATTATAAAAAAAGATGGTTGCGCAACTATAGAGAAAACATATAACTATATCTCGTCTAGACTAAATAGATAGTATAAATGTAATATTACGAGAAGGAATATTATTAATAAAAAAGTATTCACAAAAAACTGGCCTTTTTTGCTTTAATACTAGCGATTTATGAATTTATAAACATATATATCTATGTATATATATATATATATATATATATATATATATATATATATTTGTATCTATAATGTATATTTTTATATATTTGTACATTCCACAATTAAACTGACAACACCGGGAATTTACAAAAAAAAAAAGGTTAAACTTTGTGTTTTTTTATGTTATTATCAATTGATGTTTTGTTTTTTCTCCTTTTTTTTTAAAGTATTATTTTTCTCTGTCTACTTTTAAAACTTTTAACAGCATCTTTTTGTACAGTGGCATTGATTATCTTCTGCTTATTGTTAAAAAAGACAATTATAATTTTAGAAGCAAATTTAAACCCCCATTCTTTGTGTAAATCGCAAGTAAAGCAAACTGTTGGAAAGTATTTTAATAAAACAAAGCTTGATACACCTTTGACATTAGCACCTTGTTTAGTTATTAAATTTGAAAGATTATTTAAGACTGCAAAGCATCCACATGTGAATTCCTAAAGTGAAAGTGAAGGTACAGTAAGACCACCTCATGAAAGTATTTGTAGATATGGGCAAACATTTATATTGCTTGCATCTATAGCAAGCATAGACTTACAATTGCTACATTTGCTTCTTTTTATTAATTTCTTTGCTATATAACCAGCAATTGTTGTGGCAACTTCTTTTGTTTCAGGTGATAGAGTTAATTCTGATATCTCATTTGAATTTAAATCTAATGTTATAAGTAATTCATCATTAATTGGATTATCATAATTGTTCTTTAAATCTTTATCCCAAAAATTTACATTCGCCCTAATTAAAGTCCGACATGTTAAAATAATCTCTGAATGATGAACTTTTAGTAAACTTACTAGAAATCTCCCACCACTCATCTGTCGATATTGAGAAAATCTACGCTATATAGGGTCAATTTGAAGTTGTGAAGTAAGCACATACAAATATCCTTTTTCTATAAGCTCATCTATAAGCATTGCTTGAGAAAGCAGAGTTGTGATAAGAGCAGATGATGTTTGTTTAGATAAGGTAAAAAATGGAGATTTCTGCCAAAATCCAATCCAATCAGCTAGTTGCCTAAAAAATGTAGTTTTACCATCATCAAAAATAATTGCATTATCAAGTTTATTTGGACTAAATTGTTGCTTTGAATTTGAAACAGTCCACCATTTTTGAAAAATACTTAAAAAATCAGAAATGTCATTTCTTTCAGGAAAATAACTTATAAAACTTGCAATTGTTGTTTCATCCAAAATCGACAGTGCAAGAGAAACATTTTGCTTTTTATTACCAGAGTGAAGAGTTTGATATGTAATTTTTGGAGCTTTTTTCAAACTTAGAAGATAAAAGTCTCCCCAAGTTATATAACCAGCTGGACTATTATAGACATCATCTTTTATATTATAAGTAAATGATGGAAAGACAAATTTTTTGCAGTTTAATAAATTATTTCTGATATTTTTAACAATATGAACACTATCATAAAATGAGTATATTTTAATATTTGGACTACCAGGATGATAAATAAATAAATTTGACTGATTACCAAATTTCAAAATGAAGTAAATTAAATGCATTTACATTGTCTTCGAGTTCTATTAAGTACTTCAGAGTTTGTTAAGAACTGTTCACAAAACTTAATTGAAGACACTTAGTTATTTACTAGGTAAAACAGTTTTGATACTGGAAACATCTAAGTGTGAGAAGCTTCAACAGAAGAGTTTAACAGATGGAAAACACCTTTTAGTGGAACTGACTCACAACATTAAATATTATCATACTTGATAAATAGGCCTATACGTTGAACCAGTACCACATTCAATGGGTGAACGATGGGATACAAAACGTGACAGAAAGACTAAAAAGCAAATAAAATTCAAAATTAAACATTTGTTTTATTACATACCTATTGAAAGCACAATAAAGGTTATGATGCTACTGCAGGAAGCCATGAGTACGCTAAAAGTGAAGCAAATATCTAAATTTAAATTTGTTGAAGATTGGTTTTGTGGTGAAAATGGTAAAAAGTTAATGGCATATTCCAAATTTAAATTTCCTAAAAGTTTCCCTTTGTTTATAAAAATATACTTTGATGAGGTAGAGACCACAAATCCTCTTGGATCAAAAACAGGCATTCAAAAACTTGGTACTTTTTATTTTGTGATAAAGAACTTTCCTCATGCAGCAAACTCATCCTTGAACAACATTAATATGTTAGCATTAACTCACGCGATAGACATTAAGAAATATTCAGCAGAGCCAGTGATAAAAGTGATTTTAAATGAATTGCAAAAACTTCATGACAAAGGATTTGATTGAAGTTCAGATATTTACTAACCCAAATTGTTGGAGACAATTTAGGTCTGCACTCTATATAAAAATATATGGAAAATTTCAGTACTGTTTTATTTACATGTGACATGCGTATGATATCAAAAGTTGACATCCAGCATGTTTTTAAAAAAAACCAACAAGCACTGATAACAGATATTTTATACAACTATCAAGTTCACCAGATGCTAAGTGGGGAAATTTATAATAAGAATTGTGGAATTAAACGGTTTTTATACCTGAATTGCCATATTATCATACTGCTTTAAATGATTTTGCAGACAAAATGCATGATATTTTTGAAAGAGTTATTCCATGCGAAGTTAAATTATTTCTTTATCATGTGTTGTATGATGTCAAATGTATGTCCATTACAAAACTGAAAAGGCGTATCAAGTTTATGGATTATTGTATTATCTGCAGCTCAAAACCTTGTACTATTAATAAGTCACTTATGAAAAGTACTGACTCATTACTAGGTCATCGCTCTGCTCAGATGCTTACTGTTTATGTATTTGCCACTTATTTTGTCTGATGTTATTTATAAACTAGATACACTAAAGTGGAAAATTTAATAAATCTTAAAACAATTGTGTGATGCAATTTTATCTCCAAATTTTAATTGTTTACAAATCACATATATCAGAATTAGAGAGCAAAAATATTTTTATTTCCTTTATTGGTGAAGAGAGTGAAGTTTTAGCTGTTGATTGTGTTACCATATTGGGGAAGAAATACAGATGATAAACAATTCTTTATAATTTTAATAACGAATGTGAACCAAGTTTGACTCACATTGACCAGATTTTTGTTCATAATGAAGTTGTGTATTTTTTCACAACAAAGTGGGTTGTCCACAAATTATGCAATCTATTTTTATCTTACTGTTGCTCACTAGAACCAAAAACTATGTATAAGAACATGTGACATAATAGATTATAAACCTCTTAATGCAGTGTGTTGTTTGAAAATAAATTGCAAATTCATGCACATTATTTTGAATCATCAACTATGTCAAGATAACTTTGTATACCGATGAAATATCTGGAGATTTGTAATTCAGATACATAATATACATAATATATTTATGTACTTTTTTATTTTTACTAAGGTTTCACCATAAAAGGTCAACAACTAATTAGGTCAACAAATAACAATTAAACTAGGTCATTAAATAATGGCTGACCTCAGAGACTTTTAATTTTGGATTAAGGTTGGCATGCTGACCCTTAATTCTGAGGGCTGTATATATATATATATATATATATATATATATATATATATATATATATATATATATATGTGTATATATATATATATATATATATCATATATCATATATGCATATATGTATATATATATATACATATATAATATGTATATATATATATATACATATATGCATACATGATATATGATATATATATATATATATATATATATATATATATATATATATATATATATATATATATATATATATATATATATATTAGGGCCCTACAAAGCTTCGAAGTTTCGAATCAAATCAAAAGTATAATTCGAGATACAATTCGAAAATTTTCAAAAATTGAATCCTTACTTAATTTGTTTTTGTTGTGGGTATTTTAGATATTCTGCTCTTTGGTGCAATTAAAATAGCGTTACTTATCCTTGAATATTTTTAATCAGTTATTAAAAAGGTTAAACAGGACAAGAAGC